AGAAGTTTCAAGGTCAGGGTAGAACTGTGTTTCTGCATCTGAGTTCATTTGTTGGGGAAGAGCTGAAGCAAACTGGAGTTCACATGGCAGTTCCCCTTCAACTGGTTTAGTTGCAAGGGCTCACAGGGTATTCATGGTATCCGGCATGAGTAAGGGGCTAGCAGCTTCCGAGTGGTGGGTGATGTTGGTGGTATCAGCCTAGCGGGTAGCATGTGTGTGAAAGCTGGAGAGACGGGGAGGGGATGACGAGGTGTGGAAGGATTGACTGTATTTTCATTGTTTTGAGACTTAGCCCTTTCCAAGAAAAATAATCTGCAGCTTGAATATTTTTCTTTGCTGGAGGGGGTGGACATGTGTGCAAACGAGGTGTGAATTTTTATGAGAAGGTGTGAAAGTGCGCACATGAGTGAAGTGTGAATTACACTTCTATTTGTACATTGATGTCAACAAGTCCGTGAATTTCTTCCTTCCACTTGAATGTCTTTCTTTCTCCCTCCCTCCAAACCCACATAGACACATGTGTAGGCAAATATGCCTTGCTGAGGGAAGAGATTTGTGCAAGAACTTAGGTTTGTAAATGTTTGTGTGTTGAGCAAGCTCTCCTGTGGAACAAAACCAGATGTGTTTTGGTATTCTCAGCTCTTTGTGGCAGTGTTGTGATTTTTTCCCCCCGTATTTTTCAGAATACGTACAGGATTATTTTAAGAAAGAAAGGGAAGGCTGAAGAGCTGCCCTTGGGTGTGTGAGAAGAAAGTTATTTTGAAGAATGAATGTGTTTGGAGGGCATGAAAAACATAGGGCAAACTGACAGTGCTTCTTCATGGCAAAGGAAGCCTCAGTGCCTTGCGAAGGGCCCTCCCGTTGCTCTTGTTTTTGCACAGGGCACGTGCATTTTCTGCAGGCAGCAGGTTGTTTACTCAAAGTGCTTTTTTCCAGGAAGCATTACTGCTGAGGTGTCCTGCCTCACTCCTGCTGCTCTCCCTGGCTCTGGCAAGAGGGCAGTTTGAAGGCAGGCTGGGATGTCCCTACTGTGAGTAGGTGGGCTGCCAACCTAGCAGGGGACACTCCTGGGGCCTGGCAGACCCCAGGCAGAGGAACAGAGCCAGACCCACAGAGTGGGTGGAGTTGAGCCCACATAAGTCTGTGCTGCTTTGCTTCTCCCAGGTGGTCCTGGGGCTTTGCAGTGAGTGCTGCTGTGGAGGGACAGGATCAAGGCAGTGGGGGAGACCCTTGGCTCACAGAGCTGGTGGGGTGTGGGTTGTGTGGTTATTGTCCTACACCAAGGGTAATGCTTCTCTGTGCCTTGGATTCCCTTGAGAGTATGATGCCTCAGGCCCTATCTCAGGGTATGCACATGTGGGCATCAGGAAAACCCACTCATGCTCTCCTGTGTGTCCAGAGTCCTCCAGGGCTATGGGGAAGCTGTGGGGACAGCCTCACAGTGGGGACAACCCACAAAAGTTTGCATCTCATGTTGTATCTCATTGCTTATCAGGAGGGGCAAGACTTTCTGCAATGTGGGACCAGAGTCAACCTTGTATGCCTGCCAGTCAGCCCTGTAGAGTGGCTTAGGGTTTTGGTGGGTTTGCACATTTTGGTGGGTTTTGCTTGTTTTTCTGGGTGTGAAGAGGCAATGCTGTCTTCTGTGGGCAGCTGTTGCAGCCTGTGGGGCCATGATGCTGGGACAGGGTGGGGACAGCAGGACACACGTGATAGGATCCCCATGGAGAAAGGGACTTTGGGATTTGTAGTGCATTTTCAAGTGACCCCATGATGCAGATTTTCCTCCCAGCAAGTAATGCAACAATAAATTTGATTTGCAGCATTCATGAGATTAAATGCTTTTGTGATTATGAAATCACCCTCTTGGGTCTGTTCTAGCCCAAAGCTGAGAGAGCTTCCTCTGCTCACCACGCAGCCATTGCCAGCCATTTGTGGGCTAGTCCCACAACACCACCACTGCTGATTATCTGTGTCTGCAGCTCCAATGGCTGAGTTAGCTTGCAAGGTTTCAGGCGCCCAGTCTGCTGAGATGGGTTTCTGGGGGCAGGCGGGTTGGGGAGGGAGAGCAAGTAGAGAGGGGCTCTCATGGGGCCAGGAGGGACAGATGTTGCCCTTGTCTCTGCCACACAGTGAGGGTAGGCCTGGGATCACCATCATCCCTGACGTGCCTCAGTTTCCTTTCCTGGGAACAGCAAAGCTTTCTGCCCTCCTGCAGCTGGGTTGAATTTGTAGTGTCCAAATTATAGTGTCTCCTGAGACAGCTGTGGGAGACTGCCACAGAGGAACTTGCAAAGAAGGCAAAAAAAGGGATAAAATGAGGCAGCTCCAGATGATCTGATATCAGTCTGTCTCTTACTTTATGACTCTGTACTTGCCTTGGCAAGAGCATTCATTTCCCTTTTCTGGTCTGTGTGAAATGTGGTATGTAAGTGTGGCAGGAGGTGGAGTAGAAAGGAATATGTTTGTTGTGTAGAATAATTGTCCTTGCCCAGAGATTAGTATCAAATATTAGAGTGCCAAAGGGATGTTAACGGTCTGGAGAATGGTCTTTATCAGACCACCCCTACAAGTGGTCTGGAGGGACCTGCTGTGTGTAGCTGATGCCCAGAACCTGTTTCAATGCCTTGCTCCCTTCTGTGTCTCCGCAGCTCAGCCATGCGGGGGTCGCCTGAACTCCAAGGATGCTGGGTACATCACCTCCCCGGGGTACCCCAATGACTACCCCTCCCACCAGAACTGTGAGTGGGTCATCTATGCTCCTGAATCCAACCAGAAGATTATCCTCAACTTCAACCCTCACTTTGAAATTGAAAAACATGACTGCAAGTAAGACCCTTCCTCTTTCTCTCTAGTACATATTCACCTCCTCTTCCTGCTTTTACCTAGTGGTATGGGTCTCATGCTTCCTAGCAGTTGAAATCAAGCATCATCCTAAGCCCCCATAGCACTGCATCTCCTTGTCTTTCGGGAGCAAGAGTTGCTTCTACTGAGTGTGAGATTCTAAGATATTGCTTTAGACACAGGATAAGCCTACTGTGCATTGAACTGGTGGTTCTTAACTCAGCATGATATAGCCTGAAAACAGAGGCTAACTGGTTTTGAACCTGAGCTTGACTTTGGTTAAAAGGCAGCACTTTTTTATTTGTGAAGATGGCCTCACTGTCCTTTTAAACCGTGCTGGGAGAGCAGAGCAATTTTCTGGTGTGTAACTAGGCAGAGGTATGGCATAGAGAGCCCTGGGGCTGGAGACCCAAGTTCGAGCCATGTGAGGCTGGGGGCTTGGCAGTCTGAGCTGTTTGGGCCGGATCTAACTTCCCATAGTGCTTACTCTGCTGCATTTGGTAAACCGGGGAGTTGGTTTTGTTTGCTTATTTTCTCCTTTTTCTTCTAAGAAGGGATTCGGAAACTAGATGTCTGGGAAAAACAATTAACAACTAGTAAAGAATAATTAATGGCATCAAAGGGCACTGTAAAAGACTGAGTTAATAATGTGGTCTCAGCAGACATATAAACCTGTGTGTTTAATCTGGAATCCACAGCCACCTACAGGGATGCCTGAGTGTGAAGGAGCTCAGGGTCTCCTAAAACAGGCCTGACACAGCAATCTTGCCAGACACTCTGGTCCTGTTGATTAAAAAGAGGTTATATATGGAGAGGGGAACTCTGTTTGCAAAAAAGGACAGAGGGACAGGGGAAGCATTTATGGGGCTGCAGAATCAGTCCTGTGGAGAACAAAGAATTCAGCATGGGCTTGATGATGTACTGAAGGTTATGAAGTGCAGAACTGGATCCTCAGCTACCATAAATCAGCATAGCTCCTCTAACTCTAATGAAGGTGTGCTGATTGATGTCACTGGGGATCTCGTCACCCCCTACAGATAGAGCCTGGCCTAATAAGGCTTTGAACACCATGAATTCTCCCTGAAGTCACTGTGTGTGCAAGGTGTTTAGCACTATGCAGGATCAGGCCTGTGTATAAAGAAGGGAGAAGGTAGAAAAAGGTTTAATATGGGCATAAATGACCACAAGGCCTCACGGTACACAAGAGAATGATGGTTGCTATCAGATTTTATTATTGCTTGCACAGGCTGAACTGTGTAGCCTTCTCATAGCTAATGCAGTTGCCCCAAATTCTCAGTAAAAAAAGCTTTATAGGCCTATATTTGCAGTGTGCAGAGTATGCCATATATATTACCCAGGACAATGTTGTGTGCAGGGCAGGGGTTGATCTGGGCATGAGGGACTTCAGCTTCTGCTTCTTCAAGGTCTCAGGTAAGCAAAGCCAGGTTGGTCAGAGAGCCAGAAACTCCCATGGGCACCTGGCTTTTCCTCTGCCTGTAGGAAGCAGTCAGTTTTAGCTCTGAGCATCTTGAACAACTTTTGTTATGCTTTGGTCCCTGTGAAAGAGCAGTGTCTGGTCCTAAGCTGCAGGTGGTGCATGCTGGAGGACTGCCTGAGTGCTGGAGATGTTGTCCCTCTGCTGCTTTCTACTTTACTCTGACAGTCTTCTGAGTGGCTGCTATCTGATCTCACCCTTTCCTTTTCTGCATGTACATGCACAAGGGACACTTCAGTTAAAGCAGAAAGGTTTGAGTTGGAGGGTTTTTGGTTTCCCATGTGGGACATGAATGGTGGAGTGTTTGTCAGGGTCTCTGACTCAGTTCAGCTCCTGTGGCAACTTTACTCTCTAGAAACCAGACACTAATATCAAACCTTTTCTCAAAGTGCAGTTTGCCTGTAGTTCTATCCCCTCAGCTGCCACCTGTGTGAAGGTGAAACAGGATTCATCCACAGCGCACTTGGGCTTCTGCTGGCCACAGGTGTAAGCTGAGAGCCAAGCTGACTTAGGGTGTCTGCACCCTTGAGCCAACACTGCAAAGGAGTGAGTTTGAAAAATCTTCATGGACAATACTTGGTAGGAAGCAAAACAAAACAATTAAAACAGTGCAAGATAAACACTGTCTGAAACAAATGGATAGGAGATTTTTTTGAAGTGACCTACCAGAAGGAGACACATATTAATGCTGTAGTACATGAGCATTAAACAGTACTATTATGTGACCGTGTAGTAATAAATCTCATCCAAGTGTCAGAGGTTTTTGTGTGAAGAAGCAAAGACATTGCAGCTGCAGGTGAGAACTTTACAGGAACAGGAGTTCAGTATTAAAAACACAGTCTCAGGGCAGAGCTCCCCTTTTGACATCTGATCATTGATACAGAGCACATTCACACTAAGCTGATGAACTTCATTGTGGCACTCTGTCTCTGAGCAGACAAGGTCCCCCTTCTCTGGTGTTGGTACTTGGCAGCTATTGGAGGAACCATGGGGCCAGTCTGTGCTTCCAGCTTCCAGAGGTAAACACCATAACCTCTTCCCCTGTTGCTGCTTCTTCCAGCATTTCATTTTACCTTATTAGGCTGAAGTTTCTCCCTCATAAAGCATAACATTTACATTCCTAAAACCCATTTGGAAGCCTACAAAAATCTCTACAAAAGTCTTTTTAGTTTTACTGTGTCCCTTCTGGCCTTCCTTGTGTCTGCTTTAGATTTCCCTTTGGGATGGGAGGCATTTCCTCCTGTGTTTTGTACGGTGCCTGTCACCCTGGGGACTTGTGCGGAAAGGTCAGTGATTTCCCCTTGGCCAGCAGCTGGCCGGAAGGGACCTACATACCTGGTGCTGCCTGGATGCCAGAGCAAGAGCTGGCTGCAGAGAGCAGCTTCAGCAGCCTTGAGGGTGGAAGCATCAACCAGGGATGGATGCCTGAGGTGGCAGCCAGAGGCGGCCGCTCTGTGATGCTTGTTGCTATTGTTTTCTGGAGGCACATCTGGGCTTTTATTTTTCAGCTGTGTCCAGCTGCATTAAGAAGTAACTGCACTCTACCACCACCATCATGAAAGGAGTAATTTGATGTAGTTGAAACCCCAGAACATCTCTCTCTCTCTCTCACTTGCTCTCCCTCTCTGCATTCATCTGTGCTCCGAGGAAGTGTATTGCTTTGGGAAGGCACTAGGTTAAGAAAATTGGCCTCCTCCTGCTGTTGTGGCTGTTGTGTGCCAGCACAGCAGGGATTCCTGTTGCAGGGAGGGTGGGCATACTGTGACGGGGAGTACAGGACCTGGGCCATTGTTCCTGCTATCCTGCAGCTGTGGGGCCACAGCAGTAATGAACAGAGCCAAAAGGGAAGTTTGATGCTCTGATAAAAGATCTGCCTAACTATTCGGAAATAATCATGCTAGCATGTCTGCTTGCTGTTTCTTCCTCTCTGTGCTGCAAGTGCAGCTGTTGCTTGGATAGTGGAGCCTGTGTCATTGATATCTGTTCACTGAACAGGGAAGTGACAACCAGTGGAAAAGAGCACACTGCTGCAGTGGCAAAATGTTCCCATTCCCCACGTGGCATGCTGGTAAATGAGCAGCTTTATGCATGCCAGGGCTTATTTGTGATCCCAGGAGTGACCTGAAGCATTTGCAATAGGTGTGCAACACGGCCAGCTGTTTCCCAGCTCATGCAGTCACGTAGCTGAGCTGTCCACTCTTCCTTAATTGCCATTTTGCTGTTCTGTCTGTGCTGCTTGCTTGGAAAATCCAAGTCAGAGACCTCAGCTATGAGTGAATCATTGCATCTATAACCAACCGCCTTTTCCATTTGTGCCCCTCTCCTGCTGCTGGTCTTCTCTTTGGACCACTAAAAGCTCCCTCCTGAGACTGGCTACTGACTGCCACCCCCAGCCACAATTGACTCTGCCAGAGGATAAGGCTGTGCTGTGCTGCCGTTGAGTGCCGGGCCATTGCTGTACACACGCAGCAGAGGCACACTCCTTCCAGGCTGCAGTGGACACGCTTGTGCTTCCTCTGCAAGCAGATGACCTTTCAGCTGAGTCATAACATCTGCTCCAGAGGAACGTTGTTTTTTAAAAAAGCCCAAGTGATAATCGGACTATGCCCCAGAGGATAAGGCTGTGCTGTGCTGCCGTTGAGTGCCGGGCCATTGCTGTACACACGCAGCAGAGGCACACTCCTTCCAGGCTGCAGTGGACACGCTTGTGCTTCCTCTGCAAGCAGATGACCTTTCAGCTGAGTCATAACATCTGCTCCAGAGGAACGTTGTTTTTTAAAAAAGCCCAAGTGATAATCGGACTATGCCAGCGGGTTTTCCTGTAGCCATTTCCAACACGTGCTGCATCTGGGTTGCTGTCGGTGGGATCCCTTCCTGGGAAGGATTTGGGGGACCGCTGCTGTGGCTCGTAGCCCCCTCTGGTGGCACATACCAAATGCTGGCAAAGGTGTCTGGAGACGGGCTCAGGGCTCCCAAAACAGGCGGGAGACGGCAAAATGGAAACTGGAGCTGCAGTCAGGTTCTTCCTCCTGACTTTGGCTCCTTCTGTCAAGCCCTGAGGGCTTCCAGAAACATGAACTGGGACCACCGTAATGAGGAAATGTATGCAGTTGTCACTGTGACCTCGTATGTGCCACAATAGTGCCAAGAGAGTTGAACCAAGTTCAGCGTTCTGTTGTGTGCTGGGTACAGGGCAGGCATGGCAGGAGACACCCCTGCTCCCAGCCCGAAGGACAGAGGGAACCAAGATTTGGTGAGGGGAGACACCACAGTCCTAGTGCCCATTTCACAGAGCACTGCCTGCCAGGGGACACCGGCAGTAACACACTGGTGTTCCCGTGCCACAGTACAAAGGGTGATGCATGCAGCTTGGCTAGCCAGTGAAGGCCTCTTATGGCATGACCATCTCCTGACTTCCAGGAAGCTGGGCACTGGAATAAAATAGCTCTGCATCCTTCCTAGAGAGCAGAAGAAATACTGGCCCAAATTC